CACAGGCTAGCACGTTTGACGGTCGAAATGATGCGACAGTTTTTCGATTCCTCACCGGTGGATGCTATTTACCATTCCAATTCCCCCGACATACGTACAAACTGAACATCGTGTTCAGTCATTCCGCCCGCACACGTTATAGTTTCTGAATCCTTAACTACATGTCTGTAGCAAGAAGGCGAAAGCGACACTTTATGCTCGTGTCATAGCCTCGAGATGACAATGTACAGAGCCTTGAAACTCTCCCTTTAAAAGCACGATGTGTATCCACAGCATGGAATGGCACCTCTGTGGCTGGGCGGTAACTTTCCAGGAACGATATACTAGTTTCATGATTGCATCAACGACAGTTGAAGCATTCCTAACGTACCTTATCTAAAGGCCAGTTATCCCAAACAATGCCCTTGATGTTAGGAGAAAAGTTGGGAATCTCAAAGGTAGCATCGTTGACCTATAGAAAAAAAGAAATCAATCACTGAGTCATCTATAGTGAGAAAAAACAAAACACCCAAATAGATTGGTGGCCTGGGGACAGACTACGCAAAGAGCAAGACGTTCCGTTATGTTATATTTGGTTTTAGTATAAATCTACTAGCTTTCTATCACGAATGCCGTTCTCTGATTGGCTACGCTACTCATTATCTATTCTGTGATAGACAGTGAGTAGCGTAGCCGTGTGTCCTTGTTAACAAAATGACGGCCGCTTCTTGGCATTTTCGAAGTGTCTGTGAAGAGGATTTCAATAAAGTTTTGAACGACAAGTAGATTTATACTAAAACAATTAGACTATTCGCTCTCGATTTCTATGCGTGATACATGACTCGGGCTGCGCCCTCGTCAACTATCACGCGATAGAAATCTCGAGCTCATAATCCAATTGTTTAATGGTGTCCTTCCAAAAACTCCCATGAGCGCTTGTGCGAACACTTAGGCTCCAAGCCACCACTCTTTTTCAAAGTAAGTCGCTCGCTATACAGACACTACTGCGCCTGAAAGAAAACCTTCACATTTCTTTGGCAAAATACTCACTGGATTGTAAACAAATCCATCACTCTTTTCGTCGATGAACACAAGGTGAGTCCCGCTGATATCTGGAAAGATCTTTTTGATCCCTTTCGATAAAAATACTGACATTATTATCATGCTCATAACTAACTCAAATACAAATGACGATCTCACGTTTGCTTGTTTGTTTGTTTGTTATTTGCAGTACGTCGAATGTCTGTCTCTTCCCCTGTTTTCCTACCTTTTTTTGACCCACATTTATGAACTCTGTTGGCCATAAGTCCAAACAAGCGTTTCCATAGAACATCATTATATCGCTAAAATGTATATATGTAAGTCCATAGTCCAAAGTCCAAAGTCCAAAGTCCAAAGTCCAAAGTTGCAGCCAGAAGCTTATAATACTACATGCTTCTGGAATCACCTGTTTTTCAATCGCTGGAAAAGGTATTCTAGAATTGTACAGTTAGACCCCTCTATTTCGAACTCCGTTATTTCGAATTCCTCGTTATTTCGAACTCAAAACCATTTCCTTTGGATTTGCCCTTCAGTCAGTTACTATCAGTTATTTCGAACTCCCGCTATTTCGAACTATTTTCCGTTTCCCCTTAGAATTCGAAATGGCGAGGTTCAACTGTAATTAAAAAAGTAATGATTTTCTTCCCCGGCGCCCCGATCCATGCACTCACCTACTACATGTCTGAATTCATTCACAAAGTGCCAGTCTTCGAGGAAGAAATAGAACAGATTTCCATTCTACAAAAAGTTCCAAGAAATGCATGTTTCCATAATCAGTACATGGCACAACCTCGATGCTTACCCTGCTGAATCTCATTCAGGAAAACAAATTAATTATAACCTCTAAATTTCTGAATTTTAGTATAACATCCGTCGAATGTTACCAGATACTTCTTTTGGAGGGGACTTTTGGCATCCTCATGCAAACCTTGTGATATGAAAATGAGTTTGATTCACATGAAAATGAAACTGTGGGCGGAACATATTTTCATATGAATAGTTTCGCATGAAGATTCTGTAATGGACTGTCTTCACTGAGGAAGGGCTAGGCCCGAAACGTTCGTGATTTTTCAGAAGATGACACTGACATTTTTTTTCTTCCTTATCAGTTTTCAATTTTTTTAAATTTTCCTTTGATTTTTTATATCCATATAAGTGTCATGCATCAACCTTACCAGGGAGAATAATCTACTTCGTTTTGCTCATCGTAAACATTTATCATACAGAGGGAACGTTTAGATGTATTTATCAATCAATGAAAAAGTAATCATTTCATGTTACTCACATCAGTTCCATAAATTAAAAAGTCAGAAGTCAAAGCACAACATGTTATTCTTCCATGATTGCCTTTATCTGGGAAAAGTCTGGTCTCTCTCTCGTCTGTCGCATCCAGAGCTTCACCTTCAATCTGTCACACAGAAAAACAATTACATGTGATAAAATTATGTACAATTAAAATAACCTTTCAAGTCGAACGTTTTCGCCACAAAGTGACTAGGCCAGCACTTGAATAGGGAATTTTTTGTAAGAACTTTGCTTGGATTCAAGTTTAGTGACAACTAAATATGCCTGCACCTGCACTTTCTCTTAATATCACGGAAAGTTAAATTTTGTTAAGTTTTCAATTTTGTTATTGTCTCTTTGGCTCGTTTGTTTGTTTGTTTGTTTGTTTTGTTTTTGTTTTTTTTTTGTTTTTGTTTTTGTTTGTTTGTTTGTTTGTTTGATTGATTGATTGCTTGTCACGATTATGCACATGAAAACTGCTAACTTGATGTGAGTCCCTTCTTATACAATCTTCTTTCACTCAGCTAAAGATCTACTGGCTCGTGTGGCTCAACGGTTGGAGCAAAACATTGCAACGACTGTTCAAGAGGCTACTTCCAAAAGTTGTCTAAATACTACAACTTGAATCAAGCATTTGTCTACAGAAAAACCTCTTTGACATTATGTAAAGATCAACTGGTACTAACCAAGTGAAGTTGGACTTTGCCCTCAAACAGGACAGCAGCATAATCAGCATTGAGATGAATAGTATTAACAGTACCCAGGTATTCTCTGTCTTTCAACTGCTCAGGACCTGTAGTCAATCATTATAACATTATCGTAACATCCGAAAGTAATTATCCTCGAAGCCTCGACCAGCACTGTCGGATTTGGTTCTGCCTATTTTTACTATTGGAAAGTCATTACTTTCAGGAGGCTAAAACTATCAGGGGGGAGGGAGGCGCTTCTTTCAGCAGCTTATGGGAGGACACAAGGTCATTGTTGTCATATCTTTTGCTCTAATGATAGCCTAATGCTCGAAACATCAGCTTCAGAAACTCACTAAGGTGAAAAAAAAATTTACCTTTATCAGCATCAAGTCCAAATATATCTATGTGCTTTACTTAGAAATGAACTGTAACCTTTGTCGTAACATTTCAGGAAATCTCTCAGATGTTATCTCATTTTCAAGCTAATTCTTTTCCTTGTTTTTCAAACATTTTCCATCGGCCAATTAACTCTGTGCTTCTGCAAACATACAAAAGCGTACCTGTAATAATTATACATGTATAACTGGCATTCGTGCACAAAACGCAGCTTTCATGATACGAGGAAGGACTACCGCTCCAAACATCTATTACAGCGGTTAATGTGACTAATAGCACTCCTTATTATGTGGCTAGCTCCGTGAGCGGACAAGATGAATCAAATCCAACACTGTGATTGGCTACCCGAGCGGGCAAGAGGGAGCTATCTTGCCCGCTCGGGACTACCCGCCACGTCTCGCAAGAAAAATTTCCCCGAAAGCCGTATAATAAATCCTTTATTGACCAAGCTTGTTCGGTCAAGATGACTTGATATTCGCCTCCATCTTTTTTTGCGAGTTTATGGACCTCAAAAAAAGAACTTGGCCAATATCCAGCCATCTTGATCTGACACTTGGTCAACAACCCATATGTATAGACCTTCAGGTACTGTACAATACCTTTGTCTGCTAATGTGTAAAACCATGCACGGTTATTCATGCCAACCGCCAGATGGTATGGTCCGAGAGCTACAAAGTTTGGTTCGACTATGATATCCACACTCAGAGGTCGTTCCTTCATGCGAGAGAAAAAAAACAAAACAAAATAGAAAGATTCCGTCAGTTGTACAGCTGCCGTTGTCCACTTTTTAACTTTTGAGTTCCGGGCTTAAATTTGATTTATTATTATTATTGTTTTTTTTTTTTTTTTTTTTTCAGCTAGAACGTTTTTCCCAGCAACATCAGCATATTGCTTAGAGAAGTGATAAAAAAAAATTAACTGATTACATGTAACTAGTCAATCACATTCTTATGGTTATCAAACATTAAATATAATGAATGGGAATTACTTTAGAATGAGAATTAACGATATGAAAAGTGAACGACATTTCAATGACTCCATGTCATCATTATCAAGTTCACATCGCTAATTTTCATTCTAAAGTGCTTTACGAAGCCTTTTTTTTAACAGAATGGGAGTTAGTAACAGATATTACTTTCTTTGATGTTCAAAGTTTGGACTGTTGAACTTTCAACCTTTGTTCTTCAATCGGAAGACTGAAAGTTCATTCCTAGTAGAAGTGACTTGCACAAACCAATATGCCATCACGTAATGGTCCTGACGAAATATTGCACACCAAATTTCACAACTATTGCTTCATGATGTAAATTCTCTTTCTTTACCTGCATCACGTTATCCACAATTGTCACCTATGTTTATAAAAAGAACAGCAATGAAGAAAAAAACATCAGCAAAAAAGCAACATCAGTGATGAACACGTATTGAATAAAATAAACATACTTGTATAGTTTGTACTTTGTAGAGCACCGGAGATATTTAATTTCATATTTCGCTTTTAAATGCTTGCCAAAATCGCTAAAATGTTCTTTAAAATCCATAAGAAAACTCTAAAAATCGACGACTTTTCAACACTACTCTACGTCATTATCAAGTCATCATGTACAATGGCGTCAGTTTGAGTAGTTCAGCACCTCTTCCAGACCTGTATTTTCATTGGTTCTGGTAACCTGTAGCTTCCATTGTTTCAAGAGATAGGGGCATTGTTTGGATCATTTATGTATTGTTTCGTGAGCCAATAACAAACGGTGTTTGGCCAGCTCCAGGGCAGCAGTTTGGGTGCGGCGAGCAGGCTTGATGAACTGAAGGAGCGCCGAAACATCGTCGGTTTTTAGACTTTTCTTATATTATAGATTTTAAGAACATTTTAACGTTTAAATTCGTGTTGAACACTCAAAATTTTCGCCTTCACATGTCAACGTAATTACAGAAAGAATGCAAAACCTATGTAAAAGAGCATGGTACTTTCAAAGAAACACTGTTTGGAACCCGTTCATTACCTCTTTAAGTGAAGTGAGATATGATAGTCTCGTACCGCTGGCACATCCAAGTACAGGCAACTTAGTAAGGTAGACATAAATGGCGCCTAAAAAAATGTAGTTTAGATTAGATGTAAACGAACATGTTCAGTGATAAACGTTTCTTAAATGACTAAGAAAAACAGCATCATCTGCCAAACTATTTCACGCCTAGTAGCGGATTGCACAGCGAATGTTGACCATGTTTTTGCAGCATTTACTTTTATGTAGAACTATAATGGATGGGTTGCTTGCCAAATTGTAGTAAACAAATTGCTGGTAATGAAATTATAACTTTGCCATGATTGCAGTATATACACACCGTATGCTCATGAACAGTAGTACCACAAAGGAATGCAGTGACGTGGCATAAGTGTTTGTCTCCCAAGCCAGCGACCATAATTTATTTCCAGACCACTGAAAATACAGTGTTTGTCCCAAAGACTCTATCTTTGCCATTAAGATACTGTATGCACCTTAAGATTGTTGTTATTGTTTGGGTAAGTGTGAGCCGCACTGAAAAGGACACAAGCTGGCTTAGACAGCACTTAACGAAACTGACTTAACCTCGAGTGAATGAGTAAAGCGAATCATTCTGGCTTTTAGTAGCATTTACATGTATCACAACAGTGGTGACATGTGATACCTGATTGAGTGCTGACAGCAAGCAGTTGACCATCATTTGTCCATGAGATCTTGTCAAGGTGTCCTAAAAAACAGTTCAATCATGAATCAATCACTGCTGACGTTTTGACTCGTCATACACATAACACATGTACTGTTTAATAGTACTTACAAACTAATTACCAAACAGTCTTCATTGTAGTTTGTCACACACATCATAAAGTACACAAAGAGCATATTTACAATAATGACCACACCAGTAATATTTTTAAAAATAGTCATACTTGAAAGCAATATTATACAGTACCTCCTGCATCTTCTAAAGTGATTATTGCATAAATCTCTTTCATCTCTGTCAAGTCGTGTATCTTTACACTGAAACAGAAACATGTGGTGTGTCAACAATACACTGGATCGAAATCAACAAAATAATATGAACTGCATATTTACAGTTATCAATGTTTCTTGAGAGAAACCTGAGTTCTGTCTATGCCCAGTAAAAAGGAAGACACTACAAGTATAAAGAGGCTGGAAAAGATATAGCAAGAAAGAGGGGAATCGAGCTGAAAAAGGGTACTCAGATCCCCAGATCTGTGCCACTTTTTTGCCAAAATCTGTGTACCTGCCACTACAACAACAACAACAACAACAGTCTGTGTAGTGGATGTTTGTTTTTGCAAAGATGCAAAGTGAAGCAAATGAGTACATATGGCTTCAAGCAAATAAAGCTATTGAACGAAAAAGGATAAAAATCGATGCATGCACCATTAGCCCATCAAAAAACTCAGTGCATCTTGAAAAATACAGAACATTTACGTGATAGACAACTAAGCAGAACCCTCACCAATTGTCACCACAAGAAGCTGCTTTATTCAGCTCCAATGACATTGCAATGCCTGTCAACTCATCCTTATGGTCCCTTGTTTGGTATAATTCCTGTGATAACAGAAAAAGGAGTAAATTTTCATTACAAAAAAAACAAGGTTCATACTC